TAGCAACTCTTCCACAATCAATTTTGATTGCGGTTAATTTTGTCGAGCCATTTTATTAATTTATTTACAGATAGTGTTTTTGGAACAGTGACAATTCGTCTATTTCTTTGTATTTTTATGACCACTATCATGTCTGTATAAACATGTATGCTTGATCACATGTGACAGCCTACACACATATCTCTAATCTTCTAAATTCTCCATGTCCCTTTTTTTCTCTTTCCAAATTTATTTCACTGGATTATACTCCTTGAATAACATCTTCAAACCCTAATCTTCCCGATTACTGCTTATAGTTTTACTACCTCTACCACTATGGGATTTGAATCGCCAATTGTATCTGTGTGCTAATGTGGTATGGCAACTTAAACTGATGTACGTACGTACGAAGTTCTGCGTTGTTACTAATTGACTGACTCTCTAGCTAAAATGTTAATATCTTAAATATCGCTCAATGAGTCATTGTCTTCCCCATGTATATACGTACTCGAATCCTATCATTAGCCTTTGCCTTGCCTAGCTGCTCCTTATTCGATGTGAGTGCAAATTTGCCTCTGTATTTGCTCGCATATATACATTCGCCTCACTTCGAATTCGCTCAATGTGCTTGTAGCTTTGTTATCTGTACTGTCCGCTAATAAACTGTGGTTGCCGCTTCTTATTACCTTCTCAATTTAGACACCGTTAGGATTTATATAATAACGGTTATCAAAGTGACTGATTAGCGAAGCCAAGCCACCACAGGTATATGATGGAATCTCGACACGGATTCGAAAAAAATTGCTTCTTTTGTCGAAACTTGTAACCTGATGTTTTAAAGTTAAATGAACTATCTATTCTTCCACTGCCATGCTACAGTCTACTCGTGGGGACAACTGGTTAATATCAGTAGCCCCTGCACAATAAAGTGTAGATCAAAGTTATATACATAAAAAGTCACCTGATAAATGAGTTATTTAAAACAGCCTACTGTTTAGTGCTTAACTACCTAAAATTTTTCAGCTAATTCAAACCATCTAGTTACTAAATATGTTTCCAAAATATATTTCGTTTTATTTACTCATATGTTTTTCTTTATTGGTAAGATTTTCTAGAAGAACATACATAAAATTTCAGACTTCTTTCTCTTTTCCTAGACAACCGTTGTTTTTATAATTACCATTACTTTTTTATTACTGAAATGGTTATTTGGCTTTATCACGTTGTTTTTTAGAATCATAATGCAAAAAACCATACATCTCCACTTCAGTTTGTATATGAACCTTATATAGTTGAGTTGTGTGGTCCTATGCCACCACTTTCTAGTAATCAGCATATTCGTTGGATTGATGTTCTTCAAATGTATGAAAAAACTGTAATTGCTAAACTCAATCATCAAGCACAAACATCAGCAAACGATTCCGAAACCAAGCCTAAGTCAGAAACAGGGGAATTCGACGCTGTAGATTGTGATAGAACTGCTGTTGGTATTAAGACAAATTACAAGACAGAAGAAAGTTTCTTAAGTGATGAGGTGAAAAAAGAGTATGATAGTGATGACAGTGACCATACCGATATTAAAATCAATGTTTCAAAGATGGAAGACTCCTGTCCGACAACTAAGTCTTCGGGCCTTTCTTGTCAGCTAACTGCTGGAGCTTGTGGTATTTCGCCTGCTGTTTTTATAGAAAGGTGTCTGCTAGAATCACGTTGTGGACTTTTTATGTGACTTATAAAAACAGAAATCTTATTGAAGATAATTTTTGTACATAAATTATTTGTTTTAGAACGAAATATACGTTTAGTTAGATGTTATCTTCTGTCAAAATCGTAGTTTCATGATATTTTTTGTTTGATGAACAAGTTTTCACTGTCATTATTTCGGACTACGGTTCTCTGGAATTGTTCTAATTATATGGCCGTATTGGGTAGCCGAGCTTCGCCTGTAGCTCTTCTAGGTTTACTGCCGGTATCAAGCCCGGGTAAAGGAAGAGGGTTGGACACGGGGTCAGCAACCCCGCCTCGTAGGAAACGGCTTTGCCAAAAAACCCTGACCAGAATAAATAAATTGGACCATTTAAACTCTGCCCTGAGAGTTGGACGATCTTCATTCGGAGGAATTGGGGAGCCACATAGTGAAAGCCAAGATTCTCCGAAAGTTATGAGACCGATCTCCCCTTCTAACAACCAGAGCAGCAATTAGTATAGGTACATGGGATGGATGTCCAGACAATGTGAGAGACCGGGAGGACCAATCAGATACCTACGGAAATGAGGAGATACAACTTGACAGTGCTCGGAATCAGTGAAACCCATTGGACCCAAGCTGAACAGAAAAGTTTGAATTCAGGAGAGATGCTGCTGTACTCTGGTCACAAAGAGGAAGATGACCCACACACTCAGGGATTTGCTGTGATGCTGTCCGTAGGAGCACAAAGTGCACTTATGGGATGTGAATCTCACGGATCAAGGATCATCAAAGCGTCCCTAAGAGATTCAGAAGTTCAGTGGAAAACGTGTGAAGCAGGAGAGAGCCTGACATAACTCCAAATCACCACCAACTGGTTGTGGCCAAAATCAAACTGAAGCTAAAGAAACACTGGACAACTGGAGAAACAGTAGTTCAAAGGTTCAATACAAACTTCTTTTGAAATACAGTCAAACTGGACGAATTCAAGATAGCTCTGAACAGTGTGTTCCAAGCCCTGCAATAGCTATCCAACGAAGATGAAACCATTATGAAGGATAACTGGAAAGGGATCAAACAAGCACTAACTTCAACATGTCAGGATGTTCTGAGCCGCAAGAACCATCATCATAAGGATTGGACATCTATCGAAACTTTAGACAGTATTCAATAAAGGAAGAACAAGAAGACAGCAACTAACAACAGTCAAACAAGAACAGAGAGGGCCAAGTCACAAGCTGAATACACTGAAACAAATAAGCAAGTGAAGAGGAGCATTAAAACCGACAATCAGAAGTACTTGGAAGACCTAGCAGGAACAGAGGATAAAGCTACAAGAGAAGGAGATATGAGACAACTATATGACGTAACGAAGAATGTGGGAGGGAAATGTAGTGAACCGTCGAGACCGATCAAAGACGGAAAAGGCAGGCTAATCACTGAAATCCAAGAACACATGGGGGACATTTTAGGGAACTCTTGAATGGGCCAGCTCCACTGAATCCACCGGATATCGAAGCAGCACATACAGACCTTCCTATTAATGTCACTGCATCAACGACCAAAGAAATCAGGATGGCCATAAGATAAATCGAGAGCGGCAAAGCAGCAGGAAGAGAAAACATAACAGTCAGAGCACTGAAGTCAAACATAGGGGCAACTGCGGACATGCTCCACGTTCTGTTCAGGAATATTTGGGGGAGGTTTGGTGACCCGATATCTGACTTTATTTGAATCGTATGAGTGATTACTATTGAAATAAACGTATCGTCAATCCTCGTGTAGTACCAGCGACTTAAATCGCGTCCGTGATTAACGGAATTAAGTGAGTCAAATATGAGAATTAAGTTTCAGTGCTTATATTTCATACAATCGTTGATCGGAAAGCGAAGCAAAACGGAACGGCACACAATGGAGAAGGCGAGTGAATCAACTCAATTTAGTTAAATGTGGATCGATATTTATAGTCGAACAAAAATATGTTACAGTCATGTGATGAGTAAGATGAGAAACGCTTACATAAAAACAGTCAAGGTTGATAAGCGAATAACTAACAAGGTCAAAACGTGACTCCAGAAGAATGAATAAATTGGCCTGTCCGGAAGCTAGAATAAGCTATATGGGCTTGAAATAGCAACCGACATTGCAGAGGAACAAGTGCCAACAGACCGAAATGAAGATATCAAAAAATGTAGATCTGAGCAAATGTGAGAACTACAGAGGGATCACACTACAATCGGTACCACGAGAGGTTTTCAACAGAGTGTTGTCCAACCGAATGAAAGATTTAGTGGGCACCCAACTTTAGGATCGACACACCGGATTGCGTAAGCATCGGTCGTGCACAGATCAAATTGCGACACTACGGATCATCGTTGAACGATCAATTGAATGAAACTCATCACTACCCATCAACTTCATTGACTATGAGAAGGCGATTGACAGCGTAGATCGAAGAACTTTATGGAACCTCTTTAGACACTGTGGTGTACCTGCGAAAATTGTCAACATCATCCGGAATTCATAGGAGGGATTACGCTTCAAAGTCGTGGATGAAGGAATGTTGGCAGATGCGTTCCAAGTGATGACCGGAGTCATACAAGGCTGCTTACATTCCCCCCTCCTCTTTCTTCCGACAGTTGAGTGTATTATGAAAACCTGCGTCTGAGGGGAAGCACGGAATACGATGGACAGGTTGAATGCAACTGGACGATTGGGACTTCGCAGATAACCGAGCTCTTCTATCCCGTATACACCGACAAATGCAGGTGAGGACAGTCAGTGTAACAACAACACCTGTCTGTAGCATTAGGGCTCAAAGCACACTAGGGAAAAAGCAAGATCCTGAAACAAAACACGGGGAACACTGATTCAGTCACACTTGATGGAGAGACTCTGGGCATCATCATCGATTAACAAGAGGGACCTGGTGCAGACATAAAGGCAAGAATTGAACATATGGAACTCAAAAGAACTTTCAACCAATATGAATGTCAGAACTGGGATCCTCCCAGTTAAAGCAGTTCTGGATTATAAGACGAATGTGAATGATGATTACAGCCATTGGCTTCTGTTCTCAATCACATCTAATACCGTTTCAAGCTAATGAGTTGCACCATCTGTCGGACCACAACCAGTTTGTTGTTATTGACCGATCGATGTCAGTTATATACGGATTTCTTTCATATCCCTGCACCATTTCATAAGCTGTAACATCGTAAACTATATGATCCTTTTCTATTATGTTATCTGTCACAAAAATGTAATTGAAATGCAGTGATGCCTTTCAGTCTCTCCAGGATAATTGCACATTCACGTTATGAGAATTCTGTGGGTATAGAGTTTTTAGATGTTGGTGTTTCAGGTGTTAGTTTATGGCATTAAATGCCTCCTGAACTATGAGACTCATGGTTGTGTTAGTGTGTTTACTGTCTACCACTTTCATTATTTTGTAACTCAACGGTTATGAGTGTTCTAGACACTAAATACTTCATGTCTGGCAATTAATATTGCTGAGCGTTTAAACTACCGATAAAACTAGACTGTCATGGGTAAATTACTAATTAAAAGTGTCTAAATCAGTATTTTAGATTCTCACTGACTTATCTTGACATTAGATTGTAATATGGTTTCTGTCAGTTGAGTGTCATCTAGTTGTGACAACGGTTTGTGTGTAATAACTGGGTGTTGTGAATTTCATAAACATTAACTGTGGTCAACAACAGACTTTTGTAGTAGATATTACCTGAAACCCTTTCAGATTATGAATACTATGTACTAATTGTACCTTTTTCTTGACTTTCAAGGCAACGAGAATCTCTTTTGTTGCTTACCTCAGACCCACTTCCATATTTTTTCCTGTGTATTCAGTTAAGTATTTGTCGAAATCACTGATGACCTCCAACATAAATCATACGAATGAACAACTTCCTTGTACAGAAAATCACTCGGAGTTAAAAGAAGTTTTGAAACCGTGCGGTAAACTTCCGCCGACAAACGACATACAATTGGATCGATCTTACTTTAAACGTAAAGTCCCAATGATATTCGTCGGTATTCATTGTGATAAACATGTCAAGACGTCTTTAGAGAAATTGAGACCATTTTTCTGTCCTTTTATCCGACTACCTAAAATATCTAAAACTTAGTAAGTTTCCTAGTATAATGTTTAGATTGTTATCGTCAACACAACTCATTTCATGTTTATACTGAATTGTTTAACTCTTAGAAAGTATCTGCTTGATTAGAAATTCATCTCTCTTTGGTTGCTTATTACCAAACTCCACAGGCGTATATGTGGATTTTGACAATAACCAATGCAATGTTTTTAATGGTTAGCTACAATTGTAGCGGCGTATGGTAGTTCTATATTTTGAATTATATGAATTTCAAAGATTATAGCTAGTGTAGTTCTACCTATAGTAATAGGAAAAACCTGACTCCAATCATTTAGTGGCGTGAAAGTAATATATTTCTGAGGTATTTTGAAAACGACTTCAATTTGTCTCACGAAACGACTTTACATCCCATACATCAAAGTTGTATATATCCTCACTCTATCTCGAACAGAATAACAGATCTCGTCAGCCGGGATGTGCACTAAACACATGCTGTACGACTAAAGCAGTCGTACAAAACCTGTGAGTTTATTCATACAAAATTGTCTTGTTAGTTTGATGAATTTAAGCGATCCAACATTTGATATGTAGTTGAGTCTAAGGGCAGATAAGTGACTTCTGTACTGAACCTTTGTCGATAGTTCCCAACACTATTCGGCTGAATAGTATTGTGGTGTGTGCTACTGATGTCGACAGATATAAGTAGTACGTATCATCAATCGAAAGTGAAATGCCTGGATGCAGAAAGTTAAGAAGATCAAAGAAAAGAGAACGGGGACAAAGAATGGTTGGTGTGGAGACGAAAGAACAATCAAGTCTGAGTCGATTGTCTGAAGTGTTTGTTGTATGATTCTCCGATTTTACTAAGATGTTCTGTAATTTTGTATTCAAATACATTCGATTGTCCCACTTGTGTTCTCGTTCACTACAGTATTATGACAACTCAGAAGTGTCGTAATTTGTATGCACATTTCTACTGACTGCGGTTGAGACAAATTAGAAGCTAAGTTCCTTCAAAACCTCGTTGACCTTTTTGTAACTTATTGCTCTGCCTGTTGAATTTTCGTTCACTCATCTGCACTGATACAAGTGTGTTGGTTAACACATAAATCGTTTACATCTAGAACATGTTTTGAATTAAAAATTTCTTCTGCTACCAGAAACGACGGCAACCATACCTCTGATAAGTCAGTTCTAGTCAGTAATTAATTAACTGGTGTTTACATCTTAAAAGTGAATTCTAAACTGTTTCTTCAATACACGATGATAGGTGTAGAGTTTATTCAACTCAACATTTTACAGAGTCTACCTGGTCAGATTGGAGGATAAAGCGGTTTTGAGTTGCTTTAATAGATGTGACTATTTTTAATTTAAATTGGCATAACTTATCTGTAAGTGTAGTAAATAATTATTTTATACAGAAAATGTTAAGTATTTTCAGTTAGATTTTTTAGAGAATTATATCAATCCTGTTTACATCTAAGTTTTACTTCGTCTATTTGCTCGGAACGTACAGATTTATTCTATTTTTGTAGCGCATCGACCTTCAAATTCAGCTTAACAGTGCTTTTCTTTCAGTTGTGCAACTGTTAACAGTAAGTAATGTATTCGTACCAATCTACACAATTCTCAATTTATTCGAAATTATCAAGTCAAACCTTGGTAACGATATTTGTTAACAGTAAAGTATCCATACACGTCGCCTCGCCAGTGAAACAGTCATCAGATTACCGATTTCCAGATTAAATGTATTGTTTTAAATCTAGGTGAAATATTGGTAAAAAGGATTGAACCCATGTTACCAAAAATATTTCAATTTACTATCAGTTTCACGGTGAGTTTGTAGCTGTTGCATTTAGCTTTAGGTAGACTGTTCTATCAAGTTGTATCATCCTAAAAAAATATCTACTAATCTGATGGTATGCGGTTTGGTATCGACTGAGAGATATAAATGGTCAGAGACATTCAGTAGCTTAAAACAGGTTTCTGTAACATATGTTGATTTCATGGTTATCTATTACTACAATTTGATAAATTTTCTGTTCTAATCTAATATATCCCGCCCAGATTCCGCTTCTTCGGGATCTCTCGATTTCCCTTAGTGTTTTGCTAAGGAAAATTTCAACTTAGAATAATTACTTCTAAGAAGATATTCTGACTACGCTCAATATACTCTTTTAAGTTTTTCAATCTTTGTGATAAGTGTTTTTGGGCACCACATAAAGCCTCCTACTCATTAAGTGTTATGTTATCATAATTTATTTCTCCTGAAATAGTTTATTCATTCTTAATAGTTCATTTTCTATCTTTACAAAAAATCACTTTCAGCCGAGATTCAAATGGATCGTTGCGTAAATTGATGCTGGTTCAAATGCCTGAACCTGATAAAATCTTACAGTTTATAACTGATTTGAATCAGTGGAACGTTGATTTACCTAAAGATTACGCAAATCTTCAACCAGTCGATTTATCTGTACCGAAATTGCCCGAATGTCTAAACGATTTGAAAGCTGAAGATTCATTAAACGATGAAGCATTTAAAAAAGTTAGTGTTGTAGAAGAAGAGATAAATATGTTGGAAAATATTGTCACCTCACCATGTCTCGTGAATATGTCGATCGGTTATGAAAATTTCACATTCGAACAAGTTATCAAGGAATTGTTGCCTGATTTCATCTTGCCTATTACTGGGTTTACTATAATTGGTCACGTTATACAATTTAACCTCAAAACTGAAGCGTTACCCTACCGTCATATTATTGGTGAGTGACGTGATGTCTTTACTTTTTCAAAAAACTAGTTGCTCTTTCGAAGTTTCAGTAAAACCTCACTTACCGGGCATAAATCCCGCTTCTGCACTTAAGATAGTCGTTTGCTGGCATTATTGAGGCATGGGTCTGCCGTGAAACCGTTCTCTTGATCCCTATGTTGTTTGGAGATCGATGAACTTAGTTTCCGTATGTTTGTAACAAGCTGTATTTTCAATCTATGGTTCTTATTAAGTATCTAGTGTGTTTTTATTTTATTTTTACAGGTAATTACCGGTACCATTGTGCACCGAAATAAGTATGTCCTGCATAATTCAAGGGATATATAAGAGGGGAAAGGGAAGTTCTATCAGAAAATACAATTAAAACAAATGAGTAAACAAGAATATCATATAACACCAGATACATTTCAGCTAAAAGTGTGCTCAAGAAAGACTTCTTTTAGTCAAAAGAGGTCCTCTCACTTTTACAAATAATTTAATAACGTAACAACAGAATCGCCGCTGACTCCTATTACAAGCGATGTCTGATAATATCTCAAACAATTGAGTCGCATCATCTCTAGGACCCGACCAAGGAGTCATAGCCGATCGACATTGGAAACTGGATGCTGACCACATTAGTTTTAATGAACTCACCTAGCTGAAGGCGCTCGGCCATGCATCCACACCAGATCATGAGTGAGAACACCGTGCTCAATTTTTCCTGCAAGCGCTAGCCAGTTAAGATCATTCATTTCTCGATATATTGATAGCCTATCAAATATATCTTCGGAGCTCCTCGCTTCTGACTTTTGATTTCTCTGGGCGGGCACGATTCAATCATAGAAGGTGTTATTGATTGAAGTGTTGTCAAACTAGAAATACCTGTGGTATCTGCAGTGTCAGTGTTGATGACTTACTGAACTGTTTATTTTGTGGATTTACTTACCACTACATATTCAAAGAGCAACTAAAGTGGTACTTAGACTAAAAAGCAAATCCATGCAATTCGAGAAAGGACTAACAGTTTTAGTAGGACAACTATTCTTGGTTCACATCCGAGAAAGTTTTTGAACTTTCATATATTTGGACGTATCAGGACTATTTATTTACTTATTTTTCCGTAGTGAGGAAAACTGTCAGTCCATATATGACTATCATTTACAAATGTTTATGTTTGCTGTGTGATTCATAAAGTTATCGACTCACTCACATGTGTGACATATTTACTTTATTTTTTCATATTACTAACACCTTTAATATTTTATTTGACAAGTTTTTATTTTGTTCCCCATCATTTCTGACTAACGAACTACAGGTCAGGTTGCTCTTGATAAAATACCAAATATTCGCACAGTTATTCATAAAGCTGCGAATATTGAATCGGCTTATCGTACTTTTGAAATGGAATTACTTGCTGGTGTTCCTGATTACATAACATCAATGCGTGAAAACAGTGTAACATTGCACTTGGATATTAGTAAAGTTTACTGTAATCCGCGTTTGGGTGAGCGTCCTATTTCCTGTTTATTTAAAGCCGCTAAATTTTTAATTTTCTCTTAAATTCTGTTCCAATACATTGCTTCATTGAATTGTTATTTTCTGTAAATTCCATCCGTGTTATCCCGTGAATGTCTTTTTGCATGTGTTCATAGTTTAATATTTCAAACACTTGCCACTTAAGTCTACATGTTTAGGTTTAAGTCTTCTAATAAATCTTAAGATTTCACGAAGATCAGCTTGAATGAATTATTTTTTTGACAACAACGTACTAAGTGTCTAAAGTTTAAGAGTCTATACTGAAATTTCGCTCACCGTGATTGTAAAGTGGTAGATAGCTCTAAATCTGTCAAATGTCAATTCACCTACTATATCGGTCCTCGAGCCAAGTATTTCGGATATCTACCATGGAACTTTCTAAATAACCTACCCTTTTCAATGTTAAACATACCAAGCATTTATATCCCGGAGGTAGTTTATATGATTAATTAGAAAAATTAGTGACTACTTCAGCTAGTTAAATTTACCTTTTTTTATATTTGCAACCATTTGTTTTTCACCACAGTAAAGCAGATTTTTACTGTTCTTGAAGTGATTACTTACATTTTGTATGAGAGTTCATAGAAAATTTCAGATAAATATTACCCATTGAATTCATCTTAAAAATAAGTGTTAGAAACTGTACACTGGCGTTTAGTGATAGGCTCTCTAGTCAGATTTTTCATGTCATATATATTCTTCCCAACATTTGTGGTACTCCTACCAATTATGTTTGCTATTTATTTTGTCTTACAATGGCTCGTTAGTTGTATCGATTCAAGATAGTTACGTGTCCTACTTATGCTGTATTGCTTTTTAAAAATACTCCTCACACACTTATGATTGTCTCCATTTAATATGTCCGCTAGTGATTGTCTTCAGTTTGGCCATTTGTATATTAATTGTGGATACTGAGTTGGCATTCTGGGTTTGTTCCTGCTGACTGTCTACTGGTTGTCGGTTTAAAACTGTAAAAGAAGTATGTCGTAGCTTGATATCTGAGTTGCATCGTAAATGCACTGCTAAGTTTCATGTCAACATTTTTATTATTTAATGAGGCGTTTTAAGTTGTGCACTAGCATTATTCACATCACCAAGGTAAACAGATTGTACAAAAAAGTGGTTAATGTATTACCCATGTTGAAGAAAGTTGCCTGCTTGTTCCACCTAAAATCATGACTACTGCTCTGATGATTTGTATGATTAATAAATATGGAAACACTGATTATCTGCTAGAATAGTCTTGTTTCTATAAAAGCTGACAGTACATCCTATTTCCAAACTTTTTTGTTCATCACTTAACCTCCTAGCAGTCATTGTTGGTGTATCAAAGGAATATTCTTGTTGGACTAACTAAATTTTCAACAAAATAATTTTTTTTGTCTAGGTACTGAACATACACGAGTCGTTAACAGTTTGCGTCCACCTCTTCCAATTAATGATCCATTTCTTACACCGCGACCTATTCCTGGAGATCGTGTGGTTGTTTATGATGTATTTGCTGGCATTGGACCTTTCTCTATTCCAGCTGGTCGAGCAGGATGTCATGTGTTGGCAAATGATCTCAATCCTGATTCGTTTATTTGGCTTAAAAAAAACGTTGCCCAAAACTCATCGCGTAAACGCCCTTTGAAAAATATTGTCTGCTACAATATGGATGGACGTGAATTTATTCGTGAAGTTAGTCATAAATTACATAAATTTGTGACAAATACCTAAACTGAGCATTTACATAGAAAATGAATTAACTGTCTTAGACTTTGCTTAGTGATTGTTTCGTTTCCCTGTGCAACCACTATGAACTATAAATTAATTATGACTATCTTCGTAAAAATGATTTTATATATGGATTTACAATGGAAAGTTATATTTCTTAAATTGAAGTGTTTCGCGAATTACGTATCTCTACATTTTTTGTAAATATGTAATATATTAGCTTTACCAAATTGTAGAAAGATATTGTGATATGCTCAATTAATATTATTATTGTTTAGTAATTGACTTGTTCAATGGTTATTACATAGGTTACTTGGTTTTTAATATAACTTGTGGAAACTGTGTAATTGGTGATCATAGCTACTGAAATGCTTGATACTGTTCTTTCTAATATTCTTCAGCTCGAGTGTTTTAGATATATGATTATTACATATTTAAACAGTTGAGATCATTCACAAGATGTGTCTACGATTCATCAAAATGAATGTAATGGTTCGGAAAAGTCATGAACTTTGTATTTCACTATTTTTATCAAAATATGCTGGATTTTTAGTTATGTTACATCACGATGAATATGATAGCGTGTTATTGTTCCATTACCTTGTTTTACTTTGAAATGTGGTTATCGTCTTCATTCTTCCGTTAAGTATGTCTTAATACTTTTTAAGTTACATTCACTGATATTTCTTTCTCGAAAGGTTGCTCTATAGCTTGTTTGTTGGTTTTCTTATAGGTGCGTGTCATGATATTCCAACCGTGTAGAATAGATCGTTTTAATAGGAAGTTTATATTATTATTAAATGATAAAACTTTGTTCGTTACTCTGTTTTATAACACCTAACTGCTATTATGATTTCACTCAGACTGGACCGAGAAATCTACGTTAACACCTGTATGTTTGAATTTTTCTCAAAGATTTACTAAGACAGCTCCCGCAAGACAAACATGTTAGATTATATGGTTTTTCGAACCAAATTCACTAGCTTTACTAACTTTTATTTCTCTGAGATCCAAGAATTCGTAGGTATAAACATGTGAGTCATTAAAAAAATAGGACTACACCTAATCAGTATCTCAAGGTTTTCATGCTAGTTGCGATGTGATAGCAATCATGATCAAGTTTTAGTTTAGGAAAAAACAAAAACCAAGTGCTTTTGTGTTTTATTTTTGTAGCTAGTATCGTTTAATAGTGGAAAACTTTTGCATCCCTCCTCGATCACTTACGTTGACCATATTCGGAATGTTTTCGAAATTAAGTTGAAGTTTGTTATCTAAATTATGTATTGTATTGTCTTGTATTATGACATATCGGTTATCAATTACTTGTTTCTTTCTTATATGTTAGATTCTTCTTCCGCACTACAGAAAATATGGGAATTCTGACACAACTGAATCAGCTGATTGTGATTCTATTTCGCTATCAATTGATCGTTTTGTAGTTATTATGAATCTTCCTCAATTGGCTATAGATTTTTTAGATGCATTTGTACCACCATTGAATTGTATAAAATCATCAAATATCATTGCTGATAATAGTGTAACTGCCAATCTAAATGATTCATCTGTTATACGTCAAAAATTTATTAAACCTTTATATATTTATTGTTATTGTTTTATGAGACGTAATATTGAATCGGAACAAACTATTAAAATACGTTTAGCTAAAGCTTTAAATACAAATATGACTGATTTATTTCAATTTGTTAATTCAATAACAAATGATGAAACAGTTGATAATATGAACAATGAACAAATTAATGATAAATGTTTCATAAGGAATTGGCATTATCGTTTTGTACGAAATGTTGCTCCATATAAAGATATGTATTGTGCTGAATTTGAATTATATTTACCAAAACTATGGTTATTTTATGATTATTCAAGTCCAACAGTAAAACGTTCTCGAACTACTGAAAATGAACTAATTGAATAAATAAAAAATATTGAAATAATAATAAAACGTAAAACAGAAAAGGAGTGAATAAATAACTTACTGGTTTTGATCAATTGTAAATAATATTTCTAAATATTATTAAATATTTTCTTTAAAGTTAAAAAAAGAAGATTGAAATATAAATAAAATCTATTTAGATATCACTTGTGTTCTTCAATAGTTTTGTATCATTTTATATATCTTTATACATTACAAATAAACTTTTATAAGAAAATAAAAGGAATTGTTTGAGTTGAGTAGAATGGTTGTGTGTGATTAAGATCTTTCGGAGAATACATTTTTAGGTGGTTCATATCCTATGTATAAATGATCAGATTATCTTCATTTCAAGGGGTTGTATTCTTTTGATTGAATGAAGTGATAGAGTTATTATGAAAAAGATTCAACTAACTATATTGAAAAATACATTCTACTTGAATCGCCCCCAAATGCCCTGGTACGACCGAGAGTGGGGAGAGTCCGCTTTCCCTCTCGAAATGCTCTCACTTGGCCACGCGTATATAGCCACTGCCAGGAAAGTCCTACTCACTTCCTTCTCGTGGTGGGGGTGTTTTTTACGAAATTGAGAGGACGCAAAGCGAATGTCCGGCGCTTTGATCGGGTTGGTGGACATAGAGAGTCCACCTAGGGGAGTTGGAAAACCCTGATTCTAGACCAATGGTGCACATGGGCTCCAGTATCCTGAAGTAACAAATGGTATATGAACCAAATATTGGTCACTGACTACTATGGGACTGTGCCTCCTTATGTTGCGGATCAGACCTTCAGGTCGAAGGCTATGGGTGTGGCCCCCTAAGAAAATCACCTAGTCCGGTTTGGGCACCCGGACAATATCACAACCCTCACACAAATCTCATTTGATTTGTGTGATGCATATGTATTTGGTGCCTCCTTGTACCAGTATCTATGTGTTCAAATAAATATATAAAATAAAATCTTGAATCAAAAGAAATTGTTTTTATTAATTAAATGATATTGGCTCAGTGGTTAAGCGCTTGCGCGTGAGACTGATAGGTCCTGCGTTCGAATTTCGCGATTTGGGATCGTTGATGCGCTCTGCTAAAGAGTCCCACAATAGGACCAAACGGCCATCCAGTGCTTGCAGGTTTTCCATGGTGGTCTAACTTTAATTGATTCATGACCTCAACCATTGAAATTACTACAATATCCACGAGACCCCTTCTGATATAAATTATTATTCACCAAATATTACTCCATCTCGTTTTGAACAATTATAATCATTCATTAAGAACTGGACGAGCGAAATATGCTAAGAATTTATTTTTCCTAAAGCACATGTAAATGACTGGCTATTCCCACCTTTTCAATTAACCCAGCTAGAAAATGGTAGGTTCTTTATGAAATTTGTTTCTTTGATCGAAGCAGGCAAAATAGGTTCTATCGTTCAGATTCGTAAGCTAAACCTTGAGATGCATATATTTTTTAAAGCTAGTGGTAATACATAACTGGTGGAGGCGACATTCGAAACTGAATTTTGTAGAGAATGAATCGCTGTTGGAAACATTTCTAATCTTGTATCATGTGAAATGGAAGTAAACTATTTATCGCAGACAATCTTATAATACTATTATCCGTAGTAAACGATTTAAAATGATGATACATGTATTCCCAAGACTTCATTTGTGTGATTACTCGCATGCGTATAAATCTCGTAGATTGTATTTCTGGAATATTGGTATTGTTATATCTTAACGAAGAATAAATGAATACTAACGGCTAGGCACGATTTATGGACTATTGTTGAGTATATTCTTTTCGGATAATTATTAAGTAACTTTATTATATATATACGGGCAATTTTTTAATGTCTGTTTCATTCTTCATAGCGTCATGCTTTTCTACGTGAAGTTAATTGAAAAAGATAAATTTATTGACAAGAAAATGAAACTCATCTCGATTTACTGCTACTTATGCTAATTCTGAAGATCTGTTCTCTAAGGCGTTCAACGTGTTTATATACTTCGTATGGCAGTTTTACTAGGTCGTTCTTCAAAGTTTATTGAATATATACGGCCTTAAATCTTGTTTTCGGTCATCATTATTGAGCAATTTTTCGCAAAAAAAGTGACAACAGTTCTGGCTGCAGCGTTAAAAATGTTTAAGTTAGTTTTGAACTACTTACAAGTAGCATGGTTTATTATGTAAACTTATCGTGATCTAACGGCACCGAGGGACAAAGGTCTTGTTGCTTTCCATAAATATTGCTTCGAAATTTGATCTAAAATAATAGTAGCTGTCAATTATTGTTATGACTTTATGTTGCTGTCGATTTTTACCCTGTGCTAATTGTTGTGTCCTTGACTGGAAAATTAGAGAGCAGTGTACATATCGATCGATCACGGTAACACGTAAACACGAACGGACGGCCTAGAGTCTCGATTGGTCTCGCTTCCCTGTCCAGCCCAGTCAGTTGAGTCTAGAACACAAGCCACAGCCTCGGAGATATGAATCATTATATTTCAAACATACTTTGTTTATATACCAATCAAGCATACCACATCGTACCATAAAATAGAAAACAACATTTTGTACAATACTCAACAAGTGAACAGATCGACCAATAGAAAATGTCCATTTAAAGTCCAAGGACACCATTGGACTTAACATGATAATTATTGGTCTATTCCTCTGCATCCACAACACCTCCTCTTTTTTGAAGATCCGGATTTTGAAAATTTCTGGGTTCATCCTCCCCCACGAAATAATGTTGGGTCCTCATATCCCCAAGTTAAAATTAATTTGAATCTATTTAAAACATTATTGTCACATTGAACAGAGAAGTTACTGAAAGTGATTAAATAGTGGGGATCAATGTCGCTTGACATGAGGTCATCAACGTTTGATTCTTCTGGAACATTATCATGGAATTTGTTGGAAATCTCATTTGTAAACAGTTGATCACTGAGATAATCAACATCTATCAAAATTGTATTAGATTTCTGATCATCATTTGATGCATCTATCACATTTTCTGGTACAAGAGGACCTAGATAATAAGATTCGTCAGAATCTCCTGTTGTTGAATGATGAGGACCATTTGAAACAGCTGGATTCAGTGTACTGCACGATAATTACTGCATGATAATTATTGGTCTATTCCTCTGCATCCACAACAATTGTAATCGGAATTACTGCGCAGAATGAGCAAAATAAAGTCGCTTTTCGAAAGTATTACAACTCAACTCATATTAAATTTATCCGCTTGTTTTTCCAGACAAAATCGTCTACACAAATTAAAGAAATTGATTTATGGATATCAATGTTTGTATCAGCGCAATCTGGGAAGTGATTAGTCCTAATAGGGGGTTATGATGTCACTGAATACATATGTTCATATTGTAAGTATATGCGGAACTCGTGGCTGCTTTCTAGAAATCCATTTAATTTTTTTTAATATTTGACTGTGTCATAGTAACGTAATGCTATTTAGCAAAATGACACTTAAACAGATACAATGATTTATCGTCGACAAAAAATTTTTAAATGTGAACAATTTCATGTCAAAATCCAATACCGAAATAAAGTTGATAAGCATCAAACAAAATAAGACCACTCTTTTTTACTTATTGGATTAGTTATTTATTAGAAATAATAGTATAGAGAACATTATAGATTAGCTAGGAAATTTTTGGGTCAAATAACTTTGTTGAGTTATTTGCTCGGATATGATTCCAGACAAAAAAAGCAGTTGAATAATACTAGCTAACTTAACTGATATGAGTATACTAGCACATGGTGGATTTTGTGTAATAATGTTTAATATACTTTAATAGATTGCATTGTGAAACGCTGAGAAATAATTAAATGAACGTCAATATGTAGAACCGGAGGATTACTCTGTTAGTCAGTTTTTATTTGAATGTTTTAGATACATAACAGGAAATTCTTATAGTTCACGTGAAAGAAAATATACTTGGTATTCACAATTGATGACATTGAAAAATCATTTCAGTTATCTCATACCTCACAACTTCAATATTAGAAAAAGATAATTCAGAAGGATTGTGTATCTGTGTTTTAGTATATTTAGGTTTGGGCTAATAAAAGAATCCGGGACATGTGTTTGATTTTATTGAAGACTCATTATTTGGATGTACCAGGATCTAAGTATTGATTTTTAAAGGGAAACTTAAACCCAGTACCTATTACATCAAACATGTTGTTCATTAATATACTGGGTCTCAGATAGCCACTAACTTGTTCAATGGCTATTATATGTGTTCGTAAGAGTTAATTATCTTGTTGATAAGAGTGTTTCTGACGTAAATAAGAGCATCGTATAAAGCTATTCGTCTGTAGTTATTTCGAAAGTGATTAGAAAAGCGCCTAATGTGTAACTTAGCATGAATATAGTATCTTTCTGGAGCACAAACTTACGGTTGTCTCGTGTTTTACGATCAGAGTTTAGAGGATATCAAACACTAGTAACTCTTGTTCTAAGCTGCAAATATTTTCTTATGCCCATACAAGTAAAACTCCGCCTGTAGCTCTCCTAGGGTTACTGCCAGTCCCAAGTCTGAGTAGAAAAGGAGGGTTGGACATTGAGGTCAGCAACCCCATTCCTTAGTAAACAACCTTCCTAAAAAAAACGCTAATCAACATAAACAATACAAGTAAAGGAATATTGCGAGACATACATCTTTTTCTCAGAAAACAAACAGCTATTATTGACAATTGGTTGGTAATTTAAGAAAGAAGCACCTTTTAACTGTTCACTAAATTAGTTTTTAACGGATAATAACATTGTGTCTTCATAGCGTATAACTGGTAGACACCACTACCACAAAAACAGTTGTAATTATCATTGTAAATTATAAAGGCTTGAACAAATACTCTATGTAATAGGTTTTACTGATGTTTTTAGTTATGATCATTTATTTCACTTTATGCTAAGAACCATATTATCAGATTACTGATTATTGTGAATACACATTATTGATAATAGACACTGTGCTATCTTGAATGAACAAAATACAATGGCTAAATATTTATGAACCACAAAATATTCTTCTCACAGCTTAATCGAAGTCCTTCATATATAAACTTAATGGATTTTTCTTTGAGATATCAGTCAGATATGATAAAATAACTTACTAGAATTATCATTTTTTCTATTCATTCTAACTTTGTATTGTATAGCAGAGTTCATTCCCTGTACATATGAATGTATGTCAAGATAAAGTTTGTTTAATAC